TAAAGCAGCAAAAGCAGAGTCAAAAATGGTGCCAAATGACAAAGAAGACTGCAGCTGCAACTGCCCACTGTACCCAGGCACTGCTGTTCTGCGCATGCTCAGTGTGCGTAACCATTCGCTACGGTTAGAAAATTTACCGCCGAGGTTAAATTAATCTTAATGGTGTGGTTATTTTTCCAACTCACATTAGTTAATACAACTTTACATGATGTGAAAATAACTCCTGAGATGAAAATTAACCTGACAGTTTTTAAAATAATAAAATTATTGATACAATGACTATCAGTAAAATTTAGCTGAAAGAGTAACAGCCAACTAGGGATTAATTCAGTTAAAATTTTGTTTTTACAGCGTATCACTTTCAAACAAGTTCATTGCTTGACATGAAATTATAAGAGGCCAAACTTTTTGATGCAATAAGCCATGTGAAGAAGAACAGAAACTCTAAGTCTAGTATAACTTGTGAAATCACTTAACCGGCAGCTGCCACATCAGTCATCAATCTCTTATTACTAAGCTGAATAGGAATGATGAAAGTGAATAGGTTAAAATATTTGTTAAGCAATGCGTACCTTACAGCAGCTGTTGAAGAAGATGAGCTCACATTTAGCAAATTCACGGATATCATTTTAGTTGACTCATCAATAATTTTACTGTATACAAACACTGTAATACAACATATTAAATTACTCAGAACACACATTATCATACAGTAAGAGTCCTGGTCAAACAACAGAGATTTTTGATCTTTTAAACTTTGGTTCTTCACTCTGTAAAATACTTGTTGATCACATTAATCTTCCTCTCTATGCATGTTAACTTTAAAAAGATTTTATTTCAAGATGAGGAGGGAATATTTCACAATTCAAACGTTAGTTTTAACCTATAAATAGTTATTTTAACTACTAAGGTATATTGTAAACCACACATAATGTTAATTAACCATATTTATGATGGTTAAGTAACTTCATTATGGTTAGTTTTACACTTATTAGTTATTGTAACCACCTATGGTAAAAATTAACTTCATGTCAGGTAAAATAACTACACTTGAAGTTGGTTATTTAACTCCAATATGGTTAAATTTACATCTCATTTTTTACAGTGAACAGTGGCGTTGAGCTCGAGGAAAGGCTGGAACTTGATGACGGTAGAGAACCGAGAGAAGATACCGGAGACTGCTGCTGATATCGAGGAGTAGGAGCAGTCATGGCTACACCCATGACAACTAGGGTTTGAAATTGGCGTAGCCCTTCAAAGGAGCCTTCATCATTTGGAAAGTACGCACTACCGTCAAAATCGTCCTGTAGCCATGCCTCTTCGGGATCCACCTGAAAAACTCGCCTTAAATTCTCTGTATTCACCTGAGAAACGTTAAGTTCAGAGGACCTGCCATTCCTTTTTAACATAACGGTAAAGCCAGAGTTTCCAATTCCAAAACTACTTGATGCCATCTTCTTAGCCTGCTGCACGTGCTAATATTAACAGTTAATGCAGTTATGTTTATTACTAATGATCAAATAATCTACTAATAAGAGTTACAATGAAGAAACTAAATCTCTGCTCGTTTCAATGAAATATAATAGGCCATCACGGAATGATCCATATTCACCATTAACAACTGTATGGAAAAAGTTGCTGAAGTCAGGGTATCTTCTAAAAAATACATCCTGCCTTTGCTGAGCAAGGTCCACTCTATTAGCAAGAGGATCACTACCAAAAGAGCTGAACCATGTGAGATGAGAGCCCTTAGATTCCATAAGTTGAACAGCATCAGTTGCTTCAGGAATAAGTGTGTATGGGACACTCATAGCCATATTGTTTTCCCTCATCAATTGAATTGGAATACCACCTTTCTTCCCTATAAAAAAGAAGCATGCATGTAACGAAGACATATGTCAACACTGTTGTGTGTATACCATTAATTTTAGTGATCTTATGCACTCTAAAAGAGACTATGGGTATTATACCCTTTACATGGAAATTTTTTAAAATAAAACCAAGAATTACAAAAAATATTTTCATTAATGTGGGTCTGGTTGCAATGAAATAAAAAATGGCGACTGTGAAAGAAATGGGAGAAAGTTGTGAGCTTACTTACAGCAAAATAAGACTTATTTGTTATTCATATAACTCTCAAGCAGCAAGAAAGTTAAGAAAGCAGCTACAAAATCTTCTTAAATCTCAGAATAAAAGCTTAAATCCATTGGTTCATCAGAAAGGACTGAGATTCAAACTGGCAGTGAGACAGTGCATGACTTGATGCTATAAGCTGCTGAGATTCTTAACTCATAGCTAGAACAAGCTATGAAATTTCCTTCTATGCAAATTCTGCATTAGTATATAGACATCAACATGTATTTTAGTAAAGTCTTATGTGACTACATCAATGTCTGAACATGTACATTGCTAATCAAAATCATTAGTTATTATGATGAATGAAATTGGATATAGTTCCATTTAAATCTGCCCAGCCTATAGATTCATTTATAGAAATGCAAAGGTGTTTCGGTGTGGCTCTGAAAGTGTCAAAATTTAACCTTAATTTCAAGAGTGGACTTGTACACACAGCACACACATTTTACCAAATTATGCTTAATCAACTCTTTCAATCAATAGTATAATAGTATAGACATTGTAATTAAGAGAATGCTAATGGCCATTGTGCTGTTTTTAGCTATAAGGGTAATATAAATAGTAATTACAAAAAAATTGAAATTAATGCTCTAAAATTTTGAAAGTAACTGTAATGGTTGCACTGACACAATGCAAATAAATGGACTGTATAAATAATGTAACATGACATGCATTCACAATATAAAATCAGTTAACAACACGGTTAGTAATCTCCAAAACCACTGTAAATCTACATGTACATAAAATTTATAATTACCAGGTATTCTATGATGGTTCCATGATGACACTGCCATAGCTGTACCAACATTTGCTACACGTATGCTGAACCAAGACACACAGAATTTAACATGCTCATCTTCCATATTAATCTCTCCGCTTTCCTGCAGTGATATTAGGCAGCTCTTTATTGGATAATTAACACGACCATTTATTTCCACCCACATACGCTCAACAGAGTGATTCTAGAAACTACAAATAACAAACCAGTAACATTCTATTACTCACTAGTTTTGAACTAGTTTGAAGATGTGGAGGACGCTGAGTATTATGGCGCAAATGAGCCAATTGTTCTTGTATAAAGAGCATCAAGTACCATTCTTTTCCTTGGTCCACCCGAATCTGGTCCCATAAGCCATATTCTGACAAAATTGGCCTAAAGCCCTTTATAAACTAATGCCAATAAAAATTAATTTACCTGTACAGGTTAGAATAAATTTCAACAGTGTTCTTAATTGGCATGCTAAGAAATCCAACTATCATACGACTATATCCATCTACTGCACAGATATGGGTTACACCATACATTACCAGCTTTTCATTCTGGTCAATGTGTAACTTATGACCAAAATAATCAGCATGATATGGAATCGGATTAATTAGTCGAGCAGTAACCGTTTGTCGAGCATGGTGATGGACAGGATTCACTTGCCTCAAAGCCCTGCCTACTCTTTCTTCACCAATGACCTTTCCTTCTGATGCAAGCAATCCTTTCATTGTCTTTCTTCCATATGTAGGACCAACCTACAATTAAGTGTTATAAATAAAATAAACATTAAGATTACTTTAGTAACAGCTTCTGTAACAGCTTGTTCCACTTCATTTGTATCTAGTTGACTAGTTCGATGAATGTCTTTAGAGGCACAAAAACGCTGAATTGAGCGAACACTAAATCCCCTCACACCAGGATACAAGGACTGCAGGTGACAGCTCAGCTGAAGGTGTGTCCATTGCTCCCCTACAACCTTGGAGTGCACAAAATCTTCCATTCCTTCAAGGGAGCATGAGACAGCCCTTTTTCTAGAGAAAGATTAATTAATACCAAGAGTATTCTCTAAACTCAATCTATTATAGTATAACTCAGAATGCCATCAACACCAAGCTAAGGAATACCAGAGTCAGCTTGTTTGGAGAAATAATACAGCCTAGGAAATAGATACGAAAAAATCATGATTATCAACATTAAACCAATTATTGAGACTTATTTTTCCAATCTTTAGATTCATATTTATCTTGTGGAGAAGAGGCCATTTTGATCTAAAAATAGGAATTTGGAATACTTAAAATTAACCCTTTGCCTAATACCTAAAAATAGAAATTAAGATGGCGGGAAAATACACGCACCAACAATGCTACAGTGCAACAGTGCAACAATGCTACAATGCAACAGTGCTACAATGCAACAGTGCTACAGTGCTACAATGCAACAGTGCAACATTGCTACAATGCAACAGTGCAACAGTGCAACAATGCTTCAGTGCAGTCAACAGTGCAACAGTGCTACAGTGCAACAATGCTACAGTGCAACAATGCTACAGTGCTACAGTGCAACATTGCTACAATGCAACAGTGCAACAGTGCAACAATGCTACATTGCAACAGTGCAACAATGCTACAGTGCAACAGTGCTACAATGCAACAGTGCAACATTGCTACAAGGCAACAGTACAAAAGTGCAACAATGCTACAATGCAACAGTGCAACAATGCTACAGTGCAACAGTGCTACAATGCAACAGTGCAACAGTGCAACATTGCTACACTGCACAGTGCAACAGTGCTACAATGCAGCAGTGCAACAATGCTACAGTGCAACAGTGCAACAGTGCTACAATGCAACAGTGCAACAATGCTACAATGCAACAGTGCAACAATGCTACAGTGCTATAATGCAACAGTGCCACAATGCTACAGTGCAACAGTGCAACAATGCTACAGTGCAACAATGCTACAGTGCAACAGTGCTACAATGCAACAGTGCAACAGTGCAACATTGCTACAGTGCTACAATGCAACAGTGCTACAATGCAGCAGTGCAACAATGCTACAGTGCAACAGTGCAACAGTGCTACAATGCAACAGTGCACCAATGCTACTGTGCAACAGTGCTACAATGCAACGGTGCAACAGTGCTACAATGCAACAGTGCACAGTGCAACAATGCAACAATGCTACAGTGCAACAATGCAACAGTGCTACAATGCTACAGTGTAACAGTGCTACAATGCAACAGTGCAGCAATGCAACAGTGCAACAGTGCAACAATGCTACTGTGCAACAGTGCAACAATGCTACAATGCAACAGTGCTACAGTGCTACAATGCAACAGTGCAACATTGCTACAATGCAACAGTGCAACAGTGCAACAATGCTTCAGTGCAGTCAACAGTGCAACAGTACTACAGTGCAACAATGCTACAGTGCAACAATGCTACAGTGTAACAGTGCAACAATGCTACAATGCAACAGTGCAACAATGCTACAGTGCAACAGTGCTACAATGCAACAGTGCAACAGTGCAACATTGCTACAATGCAACAGTGCAACAGTGCAACAATGCTACAGTGCAACAGTGCAACAATGCTACATTGCAACAGTGCTACAGTGCTACAATGCAACAGTGCAACATTGCTACAATGCAACAGTGCAACAGTGCAACAATGCTTCAGTACAGTCAACAGTGCAACAGTGCTACAGTGCAACAATGCTACAGTGCAACAATGCTACAGTGCTACAGTGCAACATTGCTACAATGCAACAGTGCAACATTGCTACAATGCAACAGTGCAACAGTGCAACAATGCTACAATGTAACAGTGCAACAATGCTACAGTGCAACAGTGCTACAATGCAACAGTGCAACATTGCTACAATGCAACAGTGCAACAGTGCAACAATGGTCCGTGTATTTTCCCGCCATCTTAATTTCTATTTTTAGATATTAGACAAAGGGTTAATTTTAAATATTCCAAATTCCTATTTTTAGATCAAAACGGCCGCTTCTTCTCAAGATAAATAGGAACCTGAGGATTGGAATGATAAGTCTCCAATAATTGGTTTAATGTTGATAATCATGAGTTTTTTCTTACCTATTTCCTAGGCTGTATTATTTCTCTAAACAACAAGCTGACACTCGTAGGGCCCTGGCACTAAAGGGGGCTGGGGCTTGGCTATTAGGGGCGGGGCCAGGGGCCATATATAGTCTATCTATACCACCACCTATCATGACCTATGGCTAATGATCTGTACGTTGCTGCAGTGTTGTATGCAGCTAATTTTTGACTGAAATCAAATACTGTCTACACATACAGGTACATGTATCTATGCTGAAAATAATTCTTTGATTATACCCTTTGTATAGAACTTGATGGTACTCAGTCTGCTCCCTGGTATTGCCAAAAAACTTACAGCTGTTTTCCTGTCTGCCCAGTTTGTTTACTGATTAAAATGTTAATTATTGCTAAAATTAATTAAATTATCATAAGTAATAGACCCCTCCCCAATGATTAACTATTGAAAAATGGCAGGCAGTTGGCAATAGTGATTTCCTACTGGGGAATGAACCACAAGGATCTTTGCTGGCTAAATATTTACGGTAGTTGGGTGGGGAAGCTTTTGTTATTCATAATCAATATTAAATGAAGAATTAAATAAGTGACATATTGAATAAATGAATCATTAAACGACACCTAGCATAAA